CACACAGACAGCCTCTCGACAATATGCGTTTTTGCTGGCTGTAGCAGCGCTATAGCGCTGCACGGCGAAAACGCATAATAACGGAAAAAGTGGTCGTCTTTTGAAAAAGATCCTGTTCAATGAGCAATTTCCTCGTAAAAAATTTAAGTGCCCGTACACGAGAACGACGCGTACATGAAGGCTGAATTTGAAACTCTGTTTGGACGGGAAACATTCTCCTAAAATCTCCGCTTTCCAGCTTTTCTGGTTTTCGAGTTAGCATTTTTCTCGCCAAAATTTTCACGGGGCCGCCTGTGACCTTGGAACAAGCCTGAGGGCCGGGTTTAAAATCTTCGGATTGTACATGGGTTTTGAACATCTCCTTAAATTTCAGTCCCCCAACTTGTTTGGTTCCCGAGTTAGCCGTTTTCCTCCCAAAAAATTTCACGGGCACGTAACTGAGAATCACGCACGCGTGGAGGCTGAATTTGATAAGTTTATGTTGTACTCACACTAGGAACATTGCTTGAAAATTTCAGCCTCTCAGCTTTCCTGGTTCCCAAGTTAGCGATTTTCGCGTCGGGAACTCTCGCGGGGTCATACGCGGGTACCACGTACAGCTGGGGGCTGAATTTGAAATCTTTGAGATCTGTTTGAACGGTTCAGCTTTAACATAATCTCCAGAACATAACCTCTAACATAACCAGGACATAACCTCAAATTTTCAGCTTTCTGGCTTTTCTGGTTCTCCAGTTAGCGATTTTCCCGCCAAAACTTCCAACGTCTCGTATGCGAAGGTTTGGCACCGCGGTCCTGGGGTGGCATTTGGCCGTGGAACTCACTGACGAAATTTTGGCGCCGAAGCTTGCTTCGTTGGCCAGTTGAAACACCCAGACAATCGAACACACACACACACACACACACACACACACGCACACACAAAGATACCCACATAGACAGGATCACCGCGATATGCGTTTTTGCAATTTGCGTATAAGCAAAAATGCATAAAAGCTGACAGACATGCACGCTAAACATCCTCACAGCGTATTCGCCTCAGGCGGACGCCCTTTCCATTTGCAGACAAAAACTAGAGAATTGCCGACATCAGTCCAAGTGTTAAACCACCTTCGTTTTATTAGCGATCTGCAACCTTAGCGCAAAAACACACTGTGGCACCGGCAAGCTTGATGCGTTACAGGCTGGGGTTTTTCGTGTGAGCTGGGGTCCAGCGATAGACAAAAGTTTAACAACGCACATGTTGCTGGAACAAAAGGGCTACAAAATCCACAAAACTCAATCGATTTTAAGATTGCAATAAATTGAATATTTCTTACGTCCTTGCGCAGGTTTAGCATCCATTCAAGCTGTATCTAAATAACATGTGAATATAGAGTATCTTTGCAAAATTTCAGCTTCGCAGTTTTTGTTTAATAACAATTCATTTTGAAGCTGTGTATAAAATTAGGCATAAATTGGAAAAACGAGTGACTGCATCGGACAGTACTAGATGTTTGACCAGCATTTAACTGGTATATGAACAGACATAAATACTCTAGCTGTTATATGCAAACACGGCAGTCAATAGTGTAGTGATTGAAATGCCCAACGGAAAAGATCCGAAGCGAGTGAGCGATTCCCTTTCGGTCCACATTCATTTTCAATTACCTGGTTATTCTAGATGTCGAGTAAGTAGTTGTCCCGCCAAAACTTTTGCGTGATCATACGCGGAGTTCAGAAGTGAAATGCCCAAACTGAAATGTCTGATACCTTGATTCTGGGGAAGCACCTGGTTGGGGGGCCCACTGGCAAAATTTTAGCGCTAAAGTCTGCATGGTTTTCGAGTTAAAATACCCGGGCCGACGCAAGCACGCTCGCACGCACACACACACACATGCCCACCATGGGTCGTCACAGCACATTTGCATATATGCAAAAACGCGTCATGACCAAGCTCTTCAGTGAGCAATTTCCCTGCTAAAAGTGCTCAGACGCGAGTACAAGATTTGAACTCATACGTAGTACAAGACTTTAAACTCAGTAGTGCGTTTACCTGGGTGCTGAGTCTGAAACAGAGAACATTCCGTTAAAAGTTCAGCTTTCCGACTTTTCTGGTTTCCAACCAGCAATATTCTTGCTAAAAATTTTCACGGGTCCGTGTACTATGCATACCTAGGGCTGAATTTGAGATAATTTTTAACTTATACGTGTGCGTGAAACAAGTTCTTAGAATTTCAGCCTTCTAGCTTTTCTGGCCTTTAATTTAGCTGTTTCCACTTCAAAATTTTCACTTGTCCGCAAATGAAGTCGGGCAGATCTAAAGAACTGAATTTGAAATCCTTCGGTCGTATATGAATGAAGAAAATTCCTTTAAAATTTCACCTTTATAGCATTAATGAGTCGAATAATTGAGAACAGAGTGTAGAACAGTGCAAGCAAACGTTGTGAGGTCTGGCACAGTCATGAAAGGCATTTCGTTAAAAAGAATCCCAAGCATCACTGCAGCGGCTTAAGCCCTGATCACAGCATACTAGTTCTATTCTGTGTCAGCGCGGAGGAACGAACTGCGGAACTTGTCCGGATGTCGACTGTAGCAATTTGTCCCGGGACCAGGTATGCCTCCTAGGACAAAAATTCTGCGAATAGTCTGGTATGGGTAAAGAATCGTGCTAAAACCCGTAAGACGAGCTGGCAGTTACTGAAACGTATCGGCGAAGAGACAACACCTCCTCTTCTTCCTTGACTGCCGTGCTACGCTTCTCTCCTCTCCTAAAATCTCCTTTCCCCACGTTAACCAAATCCCCAGCAACAGCGTGATTTTTGGGCACGTACTCGGCCTAGATCTTCTCCCCCATCCTCTCTTCCCCTTTGCCTTGGGTCTTGCTTCTCCTACTAAGGCAGTAGCCTCTGAAGAAGAAAACAAGGGCAAGCAGGAGGAAGTGAAGGTGGTCTTGATCTCGCTGAGGTCTTCACCTTATGCATCTGTTCCGCTCGTTCTGCAGAAATAATGTAGTTTTTGGTGCATAACGTCTATTCTGTGATTCCCTCCCTCCAACCGCTTTTACCTGTCTCCTCTCTGTCTTCGAGTCCTGTTCGGTCTAGAAAGTGGCACTCGTTCACGAATTCGGAGGGGAGTGATGAGAAGAAGTGGTAGTAGAGGAGATCATGATCTCGATTGACTCTCGTCTATACTTTAATGCACCTACTCCCTTCTCAGTCAGCAGCAGTCCCATTAGCGGTCTATGTCTCGTTTTTCGGCCATTCCCCACCTCATGTTCTCAGTAAAAACGTAGTTCGTTTACTTCACTTATGCTTTCATTAGCTGTAATCTATAGTCTATGCAGCTAAGAACTTCTCCAGTTGCTTTTAACGATGCTGATCAGCCTACCGGTGATCCAAACGTTCGTTTCTTTTTCTGAAAGTATCACCAACTGAGCAGTTCTCCAAAAGCAAGTACCTGCTTTTTTTAAGTGTCTTGCTCATTGACGCTGAATGCTCTTTTGTTTTTGTGCTCTGAATATTGTACGGTAATTAGTGGAATCATGTCAAACACTGAAAAGGGATGCGCTGGCCTTCGGGACAGTGGAATTGTTCACGTGGAGCATTCAGCTCTCTTTCTTAGAGAGTACGATATAAGATTAATCTCTGCTTCCGCCCCACCCATCCGTCCCTTGCTTAATGGTGGAAACTAGTTTGAATCATAGGCCAGGATGCGCTATGAGAAATGGAGCCTCAGACCAAAATGTGAAGCTGAGTCACTCGTCACTTTTTCGTGCTGCGCATATAGCATTTTGTCAACTTTCTTGTGCGTTCCTGCATTTTATTCAAAAGCAAAAACGCGTATTGTCGAGCGCCAAAAGATCTAATTGATTGATCGCCAAAAGATCAATTAGATCTAATTGCTTTTTATTAGAGCGTTTTTGGTGTGTAGTGCTAAAGCGCTACTACAATGAGCAATCTAAGCTGGAAGGCACCAGGCTAGCCGATGCAAGCGTGCGTTTTTACTCAGCTTTTTACTCAGGTTTAACTCAGAAGCAAGTGCATTTTGCAGCGAACGATCGCCCTCATCCTCTCCTAACATTCAGTTCCATTTCTTCACTGAAAAGTGGAAATGTTACTAAAGCAGTCGTTCGTCAAACCCAGACCGAAAGGCACCAGCCGAGCCGGTGCGATCATACGTTTATGCACCAAACTTAAAGTAATTAGGTTAATTGCACGAATGGTTGTTTCATCACACCCACCTTGTCGCTCAATACCGTAAGTCATCTCAAATTTTGCGTAAACGAAAATGAACGAGCTCTGTCTAGTGGTTGTTTTTGGAAATGACTCAGCTGCTCAATGTGTGATTTCCTCGCCAAAAATTTAAGTGCCCGTACACAAGAGTGACGCGTACATGAAGGCTGGATTTGAAACTGTATTTGAACGGGGAATACTCTTCTAAAATTTCAGCTTTCCAGCTTTTCTGGTTCCCGAGTTAGCAGTTTTCTAGCCAAAACTTTCATGGGGCCGCCTGCGACCAGGGGGCATACCTGGGAACTGGGTTTGAAACCTTTAAGTTGCAAATGCGTTGTGAACGTCCTCTTAAAATTTCAGCCTCCTAGTTTTCTTCGTTTCCAAGTTAGCGATTTTTGCGCCAGGAAACCTCACGGGGCCGTACGCGGGAACCCGCCCACCCGGGGCTGAATTTGAGTTCTACGAGGATGGGAAACATGGCCTCAAAGTTTCAGCCTTCTAGCTTCTCTCGCTCCCGAGTTAGCAATTTTCCCTCCGAAACTTTCAGGTGCTTGCACGCGGGACCCAAATGTGCGTGAGAGTTGATACCGCGGTCCTGAGATGGCGCTTGTCCGGGGAACCAATTGGCAGGATTTTGGCGCTGGAACTTGCTTGGTTGCCTGTTGAAATACCCGGACAGAAGAGCACACACACACAGACAGGGTCATCGCAATATGGTTTTTA